CTGGTACGTGACATTAGACATAAATCATCGGCGAAATCCAAATCTTCTGCTAGGGTCTTTTCATCGGTCAAACAACATATGCCCCTCTTCTCGCTCCTCACTGTTTGCTGCATGATCCAGTCCACCACAATCAGGAAGATCATTGGTGATAGTAGGCGGTAGTCTTGTCTTACTCTTTCCTTCACTTCAAAGGTGTCAATAAGCTTTACATTCTGAATCACTTGGCATGTGGCGTCTTCATATAGCTGTTGAATGAGGTTGATAAATGTTTGTGGTATTCCGTAGTGTTGAAGCAGCTGTCTGTCAAATTACTTCTTGGTTGACGTTATCGAAAGCCTTTTCAAAGTCGATAAAGTTGAGGTAGAGAGTTGACTACCATTCTATACTCTGTTCTATGATGATGCGTAGCCTTGCAATTTGGTCCACACATGATTTGTTCTTCCTGAAGCCAGTCAGTTCCGATCGTAATTTTGAATGCAGAGCATTGTTTAGTCTCTCTAGAGTGATGTTGCTTAATATTTTGCTTGGGGTGGACAGGGGTAGGGCCCGACTTAGTTCTCCCTTCTTTGAGAGTTTCACAAGCTAACCCTCCTGCCAATCTGCAGGGACCTTTCCTTGCTTCCAGACCATCTGAAATAGTGGTGCGAGCATGTTCACGGATATCTCTCAGTCTCTTTTCAGGGGTGCTGGCGGAATTCTATCTGGTCCTGCTGCTTTCCCAGATTTCAGCGACTTTATGGCGTTCTGGATTTCACTTCTTTTGTTGGGGGGCTTTTATTGACTGGTAATTCTGTGGCTGGGCTGCTGGTGGTGGTGGTATTTCTGGAGGAGTTGCAGGTGTTGGTCTGTTCAAGAGCTTTTTGAAGTGGTCAAGCCCATCGTTTTCTCTGTGTTCTCCTCTTTGGCGGTAACTAGGTTTCCTTCACTATCTTCCATTGGTTTCGTTTGCGTTGGTCTCTTCCCTCCCAGATAATAACCTGGTTATTTGATATAATGTTGTCAAGTCTCTGTCACCTGCAGTCTGTTCTGAATCACTTGCCAGTGTGTCGTAGAAGTGTCTTTTGTCTTTGTACATACTCCTCTTCACTTCTTTGTCCAGTGTAGTGTTTTATAGGTTGTGTTCAGTTCCTCTTTTCTTTGTTCATCCCTGCACTGCACTGTACTGCACTGGTTCATCTTCTGCTTCACCATCTTCCTCTCCCTGCTCTACCATCTTCCATGTATCCGTAAAGATCCATTCCTTGTCTTGTTTTTTCTTCCTTCCTAACACATTTATGCAGGTTTCTTTCCACATCGCTTTCAAAGAGTTCCAGTATTCTTCCAGGCAGGCTTTTTCAGAGATGTAGCTCAATGTCTTCCATTTTGTCTTGATGGCTGGTGTGAAGATGTCGTTTAGAGTTTCGTCCTTCAGTTTCTGTTCTGGTTGTTGTACTTGAAGTGTGGTCTATCATCATTAACTTCTGTGAAGGCTTTCAACTTGATTTTGGAGGTAGGTTCCTTAACCTAGATAGTGAGTGGTGTGAACCTACATCTGCACTCCTTCTTGATCCGATGTTGTGTCCAGTAGGCTGTGTCTGCACTTTCTTGAGATTGGGATGAAGTCGATCTGATTTTTAGTGTGTCCTGGTGTCTGGTGAAATTCATGTTCGCTTTGCGAATATCTTTGTGTTTGTACACAGTGCCTCCAATCACCAAATCGTTGAATGCACAGAAGTCTGCAAACAGTTCTCCATTTTCGTTCATTCCACTGAGTGTTTCTCGACCCGTGATGAGTTCACTTCGTGTGTTGTCTGCTCCCAGTTTGGCATTCATGTCACCTCACCATTAGAATGAATTTGATGTGGCCACCTAGGGTGGGGTCTTGTCCATTACTGATTGTAGTTGTCTGTAGAATTCCTCCTTCTCCTCTTGATTTGCGTTGTTTGTAGGTGCATGGCGTAGCATTGTATGATTGTGTTTTTCTTTCCTTTTGAGTTGAGTCTTGCTGTGATGATCCTGCAGGAGGAGAGGATTGTTTCCCACTGCCTGAGAGTGAGTCTTCTATGCTGTTGGGGACATAATGGTAGCCACTCCGTGTGGTCATGGTTGTCGTGTGGGTGACAATATCGAAGTTGATTATTGACTCTGTAGTTGACAGTTTGGAAAGTTCATTTGCATCCCATCTGCTGTTGCAGATTCCAAGCATTTCTACGCCATACCTTCTCATCTCTTATGCAATCTGGGCAGTCCTACCAGACAGCCAGCTTCAAACATTTTGTGGACATTCCATGTCCAGAGAGAGAGACGACACATCGTCCAATTGGTTTCCTGAAGGTTTTTAACACCTGGCGTCATTTGGTCTCTTCGATCCCAACGAGAAATACGTTTATTTTTATTGTTCAAATTTCGTCTATGCTTTGAAGTTTCTTTAGTGGTTGGATTGGTTTTACGGGATTGGGTTTGTAGCCCTATGCCCAACCTCGTTTTATCATGGCTTAGGACCGTCTAGTAACTGGTGTACTAGTTAATCAGGTGAGGTTATGGGTTTAAATCTATTTTGAGTGTTTGGATAGAACAAATATCTATCACACAAGCGTTACAAATGATCTTGAAGTTTTCTTTTGCGGCACATTGTAATCGTGTAGTAATCAGCGCTTATTGAGTCCCAGGGTCTTTCTCAGACTTTAAGGGAATTAATTGCAGACTTGTCTATAGTAGTGTATGGACGGTATATACACTCCGGATGTGGAAAATAATTCGCTTATTTCGTCTTTGTATGCACTACCTTCTTAAGATGCTTCAGAGATAAGCTCTGAAAAAATACTGGACAACAGTGCAAACCATAGTTGGACTGCATACGTGCTCTTGAGTTGCAGCTTATACGATACAGATAATGAAGTATCACTTAGCTCATAGTTCTTAGCGGTTATGATATGTGAAATATTCCATCTCCTCCCGTAAGCTCTATTGGCTAATTTGCCTGATCCTCAGAGTTATTTGGGGCAAAACTGCTCTGTAGAAACTTCTCAAACTTACAGACCATAGGTAGTGTCAATATCTTCATCTCCCCATGTCTCCTAGCGCCGAGATAAAAACGGCAGCTATACCATATAACGAAGGTTTTCCAATAATACACAAGTGAAACTAAAGGAACAATCGTTCTTTACTTCTACAACGCGGGTCGCATTTTGAAATTTGTTTTGACTTTGACAATACTCCAGCATGTTCAATAGCGATAAACACTGTGCCGATCTACACTAGTATATTGGTACTCCAAATAAAATCATTTCGAATCATGATGCATACATCACGTTGAATAATAAAAGACATTCATGATGACAAAAATCTGCTCATCATGATGAATTCCTTTCAGTAACAACCGTGATTACCTTCTCAATGATTTTGTCAATGGGTGAATGATTTTGGGACTAGTGGGAATTTTCCTACTGATGCTCGTCAAACCGTTTTTTATTTCACCGCTGGGCTAGAAAAAAACAGTCACATATTAGTAGGCAGTGTACATATTTGACCAAATCTCCTGCGAACTGGAAAAATGTCACAAGCACTCTAGTAGTGACAACTGTGCACAGTAACACGCTGTTGATCAATTTCAGTTTTGAGAAACTTGGCTTCTCTTAGTTAGTAGTATATCCACTACTGGGGACCAAATCTTCTTTTCAAGGCGTCAATAATAAATACGTGAGCAAGATGATCTTTAAGAGATTTCCATTGCTTTACAATTCCATGCAAGAAATGTGTTTTCGGAATTGTAAAGTTGAAACAAGGTTTTTAGGCGTTTTGGTGACCCCCCCCCCTTGGTCTCAACTATAGCATGGTACGTAGAGTATAGTAGCGCCCAATTCATTACTTAAGAGACGGTCTGGCAAGGTGGGTTTTTTAGATCAACCTATGCGAAAACAATGGAAATAGATCGAAATGATCTAGTCGCTCCTGGTAATAGACGTTTGAAAATCTACCAGTCATTTTAGCCCATCACTATTTAGCTCCTTTCAACACATGTGGTCATAGTTAAGACATGAATTCACTGCATGGATATCATATTCCGAGTAACGGCTAGTATACGTTTGGTGCCGCATTTGAAAAAACATATCCATGAAAATCCACAAAAATCTTAAAAAGGGACCTTGAGCCTAAAAGATTCACTAGCTGATACACTGCCCTTTGCTGACGTCCCAACGACTCCGAAACCTTTATGCTGGACAACGCTGGACAGCAGCTTGCTGGGAATCGTTTACTTCAGTGGGTCGGCATGATCGTTATGTGCGACTGGACGCATCATCCTAATAGACAGAAAAAATTGACGTAGAACCTCACACATGAGTGCAACGGTTCAAGTTCCCACACTTCACAGTAACATGAAAAGAAGAAGTGGATAGAAAAAGACATACCAAAGTAGAGGAAGGTTTATGGGAGGAGAAAGAATTCGAAAACCAAGATTCGTGAAAATATTCAAACGTTAGAAGACGTCAAAGAGTGAATATATCCACACCACTGCAACCGGTTTTCAACAATGTCACCAAGAGTCAGCGACCATTAATTCCTGTCGTCTCGGGAACCCTAACGAGATAGTCTACACCTATCTGCACGGCTCAGACCAAGAGTCGTAGACTTAATGCACGGGTGTCACGTCTTAGTATGACCATCCTGAGCTTTATTTCAACTTAATTCAACTCTCTGTGGCATCGCAGCTGTTTCTGCTTTAATTCTATTCATTTTTAGTTCCATTCACCATTGTTCCTTTGCTAACGGTCATCTGCCTGCTTATATATATATATATATATATATATATATATATATATATATATATATATATATATATATATATATATAGTTACAACAACCTGATATAACCACTGAATTATAAGTCATGATGTGGAATGATAGTAATATGTGTGGGACAAGTGTAATGTTTTCTCTATTTCTTATTAGTTGATAGTAAAGTGCGTCAAGGATATCGTTTTGCTTAACATAAAGTGCTTTCCCCGCTTTTTGCTTTTCAGTGTTTCTTCTGCAATGTCAAGTGACTTCAGAAGTGCGATGATTCAAGTAATTGCTCAATTATGTGGTCAAGTTGGCTTCGAACAAATCACAGAAGCTTCACTTGAATTATTGATTAACGTTGTGGAAGCATACTTTTTTGCTTTGGTTAAAAATGTACATATACTGACTACCTCAGGTATCGATATTGTCAGTTGATAATTTCCCAGATGGTTGTGCACAGGTAGCAGATGGATTGCTGGCCTTGCGTTTAATGGGCCAAACACCTCAAGGTCTCGCCAAGTTTGTGGTAGAAAACAGTCAGTTTTTCACACCAGCACCTTCTATGACCTGTGGACCTGTCTATGGAAAGCTGTGTTTAGATATTCCACCTGAAAATCACCCAGAACTGGAAGAGCGACCTCTTTTCATTCCCCGGCATTTGCCGCTTAACTATCGTGAGGATTTCGGTAAATATTTTTAATGTTTGCTAAAACATTTTATAGAGAGTCAAAATTTTTCACAGGCAGAGCAAAACGCTATAGAATCAAGATCCAATGGTTTTTCTACACTTTCATTTCCTTGTACAGTTTTCACTAATACCCATTGTCTTTCTGGTTCAACTACTTCTGCCATTACAAGCATTGCTCGTACACTTCCTGAGTGGGCCAGTAGATCAACTTATCGCATGACATGTATATCAGTTGATCCTGTAACCAAGTCTTTAGTGGAGCATTGCCCTCCATGGAAAGCGTCTGATATGCTATCTGAGTCACCAGTACCAGATAACTATGCGAGCTGTTCTTCAAATAACTTTTTTTCATCTATTTCAAGAAGAGAACTTGGATACGATTCAACACCAGACGATGTTAAAAACATAGATGAATTGGCACCGAAACAGAGTGGTGCCAGCGATGAGCAATGGGCAGCAGCCTTGCAGGTAAGCTATTTTTTAGTTACTTATAATTTTTTTTATTGGTTGAAAAAAATGTAATGAATGCATCTTCTGATGGACTTTCAAAAACAGTATTCACTGTTAGGGATATTTCTGACTTTGCAGGTTATCCTAAAAATTGTAGCCTTCATTCAGCCTCATCCTTGTTATTACTTTTAGAATATCATTGTCACCGGTAAAAGATATCTTAGTCATTATAATATCATCACAAAGTTTACAGTCTGTTACATTCAGGGAAGCATTACATTGGTTTGTCTTCTTGGATTTTCAGTTGAGTCATTTTCCTACTCGTTTCATTGATATTCAATTTTAAGAATTTAGCAAATTTACCTAGGCTCAAGTTTTTTAATTTTTGATGCATCCACACTTCTTTGAAGCGTGAACTGCTTTTCGTATTTTGTGTGTGTGTGTGAATAGAATTTGTCAAATTCTAGATATGGTGGTGTTTCACTAGTTTAATTAACGCCGTAATAGTATAGGATTAAGAAGAATAATTTTCATAAGCTTTTAATGAACATCACTGTTTACAAACCACTTAATTTGATGGTAAAATTAACCCCTAAACAACATTAAAGATCTAAGCATTAAACAACTGAAATCATCAACCTTGTAACTGAGCAAGTTTAACTCATAGATTTAAATTATTCAAACTGATAAGTTTATTGTAAGACAATTTCATTATTTATACCAATCCGATTTAGGTAACAAAATCTGCATTTCAGTTTAAGGGGTTTCTTTATGTATTTAGTATCTACAATGTTTTGTGGTACTTTTATATCACAAGATCACAACGTGTTATCTTGATTTGACGGTTTTCCACAAAAAACGCAACTGAATACTCGAAAACCTCAGCTGTGAGATGAACGTCGACATGAACAGTGCGAAATTCAAATAATCTGGCAAAAGTTCATCTATTTTAATAATTTGCGTGCATTTTTAGTTGTTCACACAATGCCTTAACACAAGTTGTCGATCAGGAGTTTAATGGTTTCGGGTTAGTATTTATCATAGACTGAGATCAGTTGGAGAAATATTGAAAACCTGGGAACTTTAGACAGCTGTTTGGTTCTAATGTGTGATCCCTCGGCAGTGCACACCCATGACCCTACCTGACCGGGGATTGAATACAGAACCTTCAGGTTCCACGGGCAGCATGTTACCACTGAGTTGTTGGATCGGAATCGAATGGTGCATATTACCCTACTTCTGTCAATTAACGATATAGCGCGACCTCCATCCAATGCCGTCGTTGGGTATCCTTCTTCATGTTCCACTTGGTTGACCCCATTAATCTTGACTTCTCATTAGAACTTCAGGAATCACATCTTGAAGCGAGTTGCCAATGTGCACTAGAATTATTCAGTTTTGAGGTTTGCAGGCATTTATTTATTGTTTTCAGGTTGATATTCATCATGGACTGACATCAGTTGGATACGGAGATATTCGGAGTCACCTTAGTCTTGAAATAGATATTAGCCTTTAAGTATCAGAAGTGGTGTCATACACTCAAGAGAATTTAGAAATAAATAAAAAAAAAGCATAGAGTTTTGAGCTGTTTATACATTTCGCATGTATAATTTTACCTATTAGTTAATCAATTAATTTTGTTTACCGGTCACATAACATCTTCATAAACTACTTCACATTGTTGATGTATTCTAGTGCTGGTTATAATCACTCTTTCGAAAGCCTATTATAATGGTGCATATTACCTACTATAGTATGTTTCATTGTCTACTTTCCTTTTAGGCTACCCCGTCATCGCAACAGTCCAAACGGATTGTCTATACTCCAAGTCGATTTGATCCTAGTTCCATTCCACCCTCATCAAATATCAAACGGATATATAGTTCATCACGTGCATCTTTGTTATCTAAACATAATACAGGAGAAAATTCACGGAATAAACGGCAAGCCTCGTCACTTCCGTGAGTCTAGTCGTTTAAAAATGTTCACATCAAAGGTATCCCATTGGATGCATATACATATGGCAGATATTTAATGTTGAATTTTTGTCACTGATATTTCAGTGTTTCAAAGAATCATTATTTTTCTCTGATGTTCACAAGTTATCCATAACATGAAACAAACGTTAGTGTTTCCAACTATTAGGGTCCTCGTCTTATATATCACAGGTGAATTGTGTGATATGAACTACCCTCTCACTGATTCGAACGTAAACAAACTAGTGTAGATCTATAAATAAAGTATATTTATGATCCCTTTTTTGTATATCTTAGTGTTATGACTTCATTATGTATCATTTACTGGAGCAGAGATACTTCGTTTTTCAGTAGGATGAAGTTTTGCGCAGTTTATTCTTAGTACTGCATATATTTCCTCTTAATTTGTGTGTGAATGCAGTCGCGTTTTATTCAACACTTGTTAAGTGAATAATACATAGTTCAATGAACAAGCTGCAATGCTTATCGACGCACTAAGCAGTTATACTAACTTGATAGCTGTAATGAAGTCAAAAGATAAAAACCCAAAAATCAAACAGGCGGACTACACATCATTTCATAATTGGTCAATATATTTCCAACCGAATAGCCTTCATTTGCAAATTGCTGGATATATTATATCATCATCCTGATAAATGGAAGTTCGTCAGATATGAACTGGAGACTGGATTCATTTCCTGAAATGTGTACTTCAGAATAAATGTCATTCAGCAATTATATATATATATATATATATATATATATATATATATATATATATATATATATATATATATATATATATATATATATATAGTTTGAAGTGTACTGCGATTTTATTTTCAAGGTAGTATTCACCATGAACTGACATCAACTGGAAAACCATTGAGAACCTGGCAGCACTGGACAGTTGTCTCGTCCTAGTATGCGACTCCTCAGCAGTACGCACCCACGACATTGCTTTGTTCAAAGTACCTTGGTAAAATTTATAAGCCACACCTTAGCGTAATACTACATGAGGTTTGTTTATTTGGTATACCTCACACAGTGATGCAGTGTTAATTGGATTCCACCACAGTGCCAAAGTTTTACACTTGTATTGAAACACAGCATGTTTATCGTTTAAATATGACTGCAAATTTCGGTCTTATCTTTGATTTTTTTGAACATTATTGGATACGATTACTGAGTGAGGCAGTTGCAGAAGGCTTAGTTGTTTTTGAACCTAGTTGTCACATTCGGTAAATGCGTAAGATTTACGATTTTCGTTTATCTGTTTGGTTGTATACTGTGAGTTCATTGTATAAAACCAATTTCTTTCTTTTACATAGCCACAATAATATAATAATTATAGTGTAATATAATCGCTTAACCTAGTACAAACTTGTGTACTTTGCTCAAAGCCTTCAATCATTTATACTCATCGTATGCTTAATAATGCTAGATCTTGATTTACGCGCTATTTAATATTTCCTAGTTATTCTACAGCATCAAAAGTTTCAAGACTTTCTTCTGGTTGTCGAGTGCACAGGCGATCTAAGGTTGGTCGGGGTCAATCGGGTAGATTATCAAAGCACCGTGTTTCAAAACCTAGTACATCCAATTCTCCTGTTACTGAAGGACCTTGTGAGGACAAAAGTATGACGCGCAAATCACCAACTCCAGTTAGTGAATTCAACGTTGATATAATCAACACGGAACTTTCTCCTTTGGACTCCGATACATCCACTTTATCGAATGGAATCGGTGAGTCATTTCCCCAAGTAAATGTCCACTTATCTGACAATAATTTATCGGTTACGATGCGAAACTTGACTGTTTCTTGAACTTATACTGGGTGATGATTGAAGGCGAAATGAAAATTTGGACAACGGCAGGATTCGAAGCAGTGACCATCGAGTTTGCGGCCTGATGCTCTCTCTGCCAAATGAGCTGTTTTCGAGTCGTGTAGGAAAATGTAGGTAGTTGGCGACTGCTTGAAATGGCTGAGATTGGATCTCAATAGCGGAAATGCACTCATACATTGTTTCCACCTTAAAACTCACACCGTATATCGTTTCTTCTACTTTTGGTTATGTTTTTGTTCATTTCCCTTTCTTTTGTCATGTTGGTTTCTCTCTGTATGTTCTGTTATGAGGTGTGGGATTTTGTTTTGTTTTGCTTCGTATGGCAATAACTGTGATATTCTGTCACACTTTTTTTATAGTCTAGTACTGCAATTTGTCCTCATTGGTCTACTCTTATAGGTTCACCTAAATCTGGGTGCGAAAAATCGTTCGATTTTCCAGCGAAACTCATCAATGATCAGCCTACACCACCCAGAATTGAGTCAGGAGATGAAAAACAAACTATCTGGAATGGCAAAGATTATCCTGAACACGAATCGCCATGTACTCCTCCATTACGAAACCCTGTAAATAACAACTCTTTGATGACATCGCCTGTTACAGACGCACCAATTGACGTCATTATTTCACCAAAGCAACTCGATGATTTCAAAGCACCAATTGAGAGTGAATTGTTTGACTTGAAAACCACAACTATTCCTGACATAAAAATTTCACCAGAAATCTTGAGCAGTATTAAACCCAAACCACCTCATCACTTTCGAAGAAAAGCTCGAGGTCGAAGGAGGGATAAGTGTAGAGTATCTGCATTCAATACTCTGTTCCAGAATCCACTTCGACAAAAATCTTCGAAACCAGTAAGTTGTTTGTCACATTTGTTAAGTGAATATGGTATGAAATCTTATGATTGGTGAACAGTTCTGCTCCTTTATATATATATATATATATATATATATATATATATATATATATATATATATATATATATATATATATATATATATATATATATATATATATATATATATATATGGTAAATTTCTTCTACCATTGTGTCGCCTTTCCGCAATAAATAAATTAGATTTGTTGCCTAGGTGTTCATTAATATAAAAGTTAATGCAGTAGCAACACACGCTACATCATCTCTACAAACAACAGTGCAGAAAACACGGCATTAACAATTACGTTTTAACTTTACAAAATAGATGCTTTTCATGTAGACTAATCTCTACCATTTTCAACAAGAACTATTAGTAATCTCTTTGGGAATTAGCGTTCATTACAGTTATGGAATAATGTTTGATATTTTACTTTCGAAAATATCCTATCTTTGATATTCTGTCCTACCCATCTATCGCTCAAGGAATGAAGATGCATCAAGGATCCAGAATTAAATAAAAGGTCTAGCTATATTTTTATTTTGAGGTCATGTCACGTTTATCTCCATAGAATGTAGCCATTCTTCACCATCTTCAAAATTCTAAACGTTCTGCTGTGGTTTGCTTTAAACTTTGAGCTACCAAAAACCTTCGGAAGATATTACTTCTAATCGGTCCGTCTTAATTTATTCTCATTTGACTATCTGAGATAGCCGTAGTTTGCAGACTAGTATTTATACTGGGTAATGATTGGAGGTGAAATAAAAATCTGGACTGTAACCTTTACTGAGACCGGATTTTCACCTTCAGTAGTCACCCAGTATTAATTTATTCTAATTATTCGATATATATCTCCAGATCGTATTGTGTCCTCTAGCATATTTATAGAAAATATTTTCAACCTGTCTTATTCGCTTGTTAGCAATAAAATGAAGATGGAAATGGACTTTCAAACTCATAACAATGTGCCATATTACTATTCTTGAAATAGTTAACTTGAGCTGTAGATTATCGTACTGGTGGGATTAATCACCACTGCCAAACTTACTCATGCTCTGCTATTCACTCTCCCCTCTTAAGGCCGACAATAACCCAACAACAACTGATTGTTTTCTTTCCTTGCATATCATATTATTCTATATTAGTGATGGATAGTGGCCACCAGTGGATTCGAAGACGCGCGTTTCGTCATATTTGGGGTTCATCAAATGGATTTATATGTACCCTAATGCGCAGTGTTGTTCCCACTAGGACTCCAACCTGGGACTGATCACTTCAAACGCCAGAGCGTTATCCATTAGACCACTGAGTCACGATAGTGACTTCTTGTGCAATGGGTCTAGTTCTTATGGTGTTATTTGTTGTCACACTCAGTCACTGAGGGGGCAGGTACATCCAGCTGACAAGTCCCAAACAGAATGAAACGCGCGTTCTGGATTCCACTGTTAGCCACGATATATCAATAATGTGAAATGGAAACACAGGCAATATCGAGACACCCACACAGGAGCCCATATGCTAATAGAGACCGATCAATTTGGTCCAACCAACGACGTGATAATATGGATGACAACATTGAAGTAATATTGCTCTTGTTAAAATTACTAGTATCCTACAGTTATTTCATTTTAAAATATTGGACAAAGAGTACATCTGTTGAAATATTAGATGCTGAGAAACTGCACACTATGTCAAGAAGATCATCTAAAACAAAGTGATTGTTACCACTATGCTGGTCCTTAATGTATATTTTAACATCGGTCTTTTCTGCTCATTTCTTCTGTGGGTGGACTTCTGTAAAAGATCTCACATGATCCTTTCATCTGTTTATTTCTGGGTAAGAATTATGCAGGAAATTGGAATTCAGTCATTTGTTTATTGGGATAAGCATACAGACTGCAGATGTTATAATTGTCACACTTAGGGATTATTCCTGTGAAATAAGCCACCTTTATACTACACGTCGACAGGGTAATTGACTGAGTAAAAACAAGAACGGGAGTAATATCAGTGGCTATTAAAAGGTTATAAGACAAAGCTAGTATGTCTAGTAATAACACTTTTTAAATTTACTTGTTGAGGTAATTTTTTGTGAATAGTAGAACATTGTCAATCAATCAATCAGTCACAGTCAGACTAGTCAACCCTTGGGGAGATGAAGTAATTGTTCTTTCTAGTTGCTTTAGTGTTTGGGTCGTATGGTTTTCGCATTTTTGAGTCATTGTGATATTGTGTTTATCAGTTTTTGTACATAGTTGCATCTTCGTTTATTAACTTATTGGTGTTTTTCAGCTTCCTATCAAGGCAGATGATCGTTCACAAGATGTACTCCATACACTTTTAACTAAGTCTGAAAACAATTTTGATGATCAGCAGCCTGTTGCATCTACTCCAGTGAGTCGTCCAGATAATTCTCGACAAACAAGATCACTTCACAAAAGTGTAAAAAAATGCTTAGAGCTTAAGGCTGATGAATCTTACGACATCATCAAAAGTGAACCTGTTACCATATCGCTTCCCTTTGATAACAAGAGTGAGATTGTGGACTCTCCAGCATCTGATGCAACTGAACCCATGGTTTATGGTGACAAGGCGGAACTTCTTAGGATCCAGTGTACAGATACTAGTTCTGCAAAGTGCATTTCATCATCTAGTAACCTAACTATGGTTTCTGGTAGTCACTTTTTGAAGTCGGATATTTCAGTTTTTAACAAAGAAAGCTTTGGGAAATTACAACAACATGCATCAGTTGCTTTACGATCGTTGCCTTCTTCTCCGTCGTCCCTTGATTCTTCTCTCTGCTCATCCTCATCTTCTACTCCAAAATCTTCACTGGAACAGCCATTGCCTATGAGATTGGAAGTAAATGACACGAAACATCCTGATCATTTAAGGGGTGATGTGTCTCATTGTAGTCAAGATTTTAATAAATCTCTACTCCCTAATTCATGCGTTCAAACCACCGTTGAAACAAACCTATCTCCAGCGATTTCTCCAAATCCTATACAACCCTCTCCTGTAGTTTCCTGCGTTAACAAAATTTATCCTGTGCTTTGTTCACCAGTTTACCCAGTGGGTGTTGGTCCACCTCCTCTTCTTCGCTTATCTAACAAGTTAACGGAACAAAAACGCTCCTCTTCTTACCATGCAACACCCGCTGAGAGTGAACGTATCTCTGTTCTTCCACCTACGTTGGTGCCTGTAAGTTTCGTCATATATTTTAAGATATTCACAAAAGTTAACTGTTTTCACTATGTTTATAGTTTCAACTCAATATATTTATTTGTCACAGTAACAGAACCAATGATATATTGCTCATTTGTGGCATATTTCTATGAAAATAGTTAAATAATCATTTGAAGATACCGTTCCAAGTGTACTGTGCCGACCGACACCATTTGCCATTGTAGATAGTAATTCGTAGTAATAACATGTCAATAAGATGTCTTTGTATAGTGGCTTACTGGGTTGCGTTATCATTTATTTCAAACTGGCGCTTGCAACACTAATTTGCTTATTCTTTTCTAATTAGTTAATCAATCCTTTTTAACTTTGAGTAGTCAAAACTGGACTAGCCTTGTGATGTTGTAAACTCCAAGAGTTAATCAGGTAACTTTTCCAACTTGAAGAGATGGTGGCAGATATCCTTAATTCTATATAGTAATGATGGGTAGCGGCTACCAGTGGAATCCAGGATTCGCATTTCGTCCTATTTAAAACTCGTCAGCTCGATGTACCTGCCTCCCAGAGTGTTGTCCCCACAGGGGTTCGAACTCGGGACTGATCACTTAAAACGGCAGAGCGTTATCTACTAGACCTACGAGCCACGATAGCCAATTCAGATATCCTTAATGTTTTATGTACACCTACCACTTTTGCTAAGAATCCAACTTAAATATTAGTCTACTTGCTGAAACAATTTATGAGATTCAGAAATTTGAACAATTCATGAACGTATCTGTTAATGTGCGTAGTTTATTAACTGCAGTGACTGATTACCATAGTCTTTAAGTTTGTAAGAGTAATGCAGAACCTTTTGTCTGCCATTGAGCGAGACAGATGAACAGACAAAGCCAACGTAGGACATCCCACATATGCACATCGGCTCAGGTTGTCACTTCACAGTAGTATACAAAGAACAGATGAATAAAAAAAGAGTGATATCGAAGTAGAGAGAATAAAAAATTTGAAGACAAAGATTAGTGTGAATATTCAAGCTTTAGAAGATGTCAAGGAGTGAATACATCTCTGCCATTGTCACCGACCGGTTCTCTGCCGGGTCACCAAGAATCCTCAGCTACTGATTCCTTTCATCTCGACGACCCCCAACCAGACAGTCTACATCTCTTCTCACCACTCAGACCAACTTTTAGGGAGAAGTCTGAATACACTTCAAGATTTTAGGCAGATTATATAACCATCAATAGTTACTAGAAATAAACTTTGCATTAACAGACTGTGTTAACTTGAAAATGTTTTACGATTTTGACGTAAACATCATTTATCTCCTTTTAGTCTTGTACTGTCGATCCGGATCAGCCGAAATCACAACAATCAGATTCGATGACAGCTTCAAGCAGTTGCTTCTTCACAAATTCACAACCATTAACATCCAAACCAACAGGTGATAAGAATGGAGGTTTGCGCATAACCATCAAATTAGGTGGTGATGTATTAACTGAAGAACATCTTGCTTCTTCTCTTTCTCCCACATCTTCATCATCTTCATTATCATCGTCGTCAGGATCTACTTCAGGCGATGATGACAACACACCTCATTATACGCAACCATTAAATCCAACTCACACTTTCAAAAAAGAAACTGAGAGTAATACTAAAGGTGTCGTGGGAAAAGACAGGTAATTGACTGTTAACCTTTTTTTTAATAGCCTATTTTTACTAATAATAAAATTAGTGTTGAAGATACCGAGGCTGATACAAAGAACTACGGTAAATAACGTCATACTCTCATAGTTTATACGCTTGTGTTAGGCAAACAAAACAACAGTTAGCAAACTGAGTTTTCACAATTTCCATAGGCATCGAAACAGCTTCATTAGAGCTCATTTCCATACTCGCTTATTATTTACTTATTTTAAAAGGAAAAGGAAATTATTACTGATACACCATTGAATCAGTTGTATATACACACTCTAATTAGGTGGTGGTAGTCTTAAATCTTCAGTATTCTGAAAACAAGGAGTTTAAATACTCTTGCATGAACACTAATTTTTTCTGGTGGAAAGAAAATAGTCTAGAAACAAGATTTCATTAAGACGTTGAATAGTATAGTTTTGTTTTGTTTCATATTTATTTTAACAAACAAACTATAACAATTTGTTTTTATTTAGTGATTTATTACTCTTTGATGCGATTGCTGCCTTTTTTTAAATGGAGTTATCTTATTGGTTTAGGGAGTTGATTTGCAGGTAGTAGTATTGTTTAACCCTTACACCATATGTGTGGCTTATTGCTTATTGTACAGATATGTAAAAGATTGCTAGGTGGATTTCTACTGGATCTTATTGGTCGCTAGAAATACGTTTTTAAAATTATAATAATGCAACTGGGGAACTCTATGCAGTCACGTGATCTAAGCGATAGACCAAACATTGTTGTGTGAGAGCTGTAAAGCTACCTGACTACCTAAATCTTGTCAGGTTAAGTAAAGTTCGAACCTATGGATACACTAACGTTGTAGACATTGGATAACATAGTTCACTATCTCATTTTTCACACTAAACTTTAGTCCTCAGTGAAAGGATACATATCTACATTTAACTGTTTCTACATAATTACATTTCGAAGAATTTCTTGACTTCTAAGGTACGATGAATGTGTTTGAAAAGAATTCATCAGATATAATATAAATCACTTTAGTTGCTATATGTATTGCACTCATGGTGTAAACTATATATATATATATAGCCAAGTGTTATTTGACCTCAGTCAGGATAAGTTATTAAGGTGTGCTTGTTATTATTTATTATGTGAAACTTCTGTTGACTCAAAAGTGTGTCGTCAATTCACTTCACTGTCGATATCTGCTTTCGATAATCTTTATAGGTCAGATTTATATTCCGGCGGATTGTCTCAGTCAATGACATCCTGTGAGAAAACACCGAAACTGTAAGTTAGTTCAGATGATTGTTTAGTCATTTTCTCATTTAATGGTTTTTGCTTACTCAGTTTAGTTTATGCAGTATTTTTTAGAAGAAATAAAGCTTATTTAAACCAATCTAATCATCATAACACTTCTCAAGACTAAATTCATATCCTTAAGATGCCTAGAACTAAGAAACTACATAGTTGTAGATACTGTTTGTAACATAAAAAAGTTTATTCGTTGTACCTATTATCTAGTTCATCAGTTTTCTATTGTTACCTAGTTTTCGCTTGTTGTAAATATGCCTTTTGTGTTTTTTTCGAAGTTCCTCCATTGTTATTCATTTGTGTTTCTTTTTAATCATAGTGTTATTCGCCTGGGCAACGGTCCTATCTCATCAGGTCAACCTCAAACAGTAACATCGTCACATGTACAGTCGATTAGTCAAAATTTGGCAACACATTCAGAAAATTCTGCTTCACTTGTCGATAAAAAATATGCAACATCTGTAACTGCTGCACCTCCACCACTACAACTGACTATTTCTCGTGATAGACTAAAGTACAGGGGTCGAACTCTATCACAAGGTAGTGATTCAAACGCGTCAAACACCAGTTCTACAATTACGAGAAGTCTTTCAAGTAGTGAAGAAGAAGAAGACCTTACTATTCAATCTCATATTAGTCCTACAGCGACTGCTACCTTGCCGCCACCACCCTCTTTGGAACGTCTGCCTCCTCGACCGGGTCGCAGTGGTCTTTCACCAAGCAAACTCGTGGGACATGGACGTTCTCTTCACCACTCACAACTACCCCCACCTCTAACCCCCAGTACTACCGTGTCAGACAGTTTACCACCAATAAAATCGAAAGTTTCATTGACCTCAACTGCTACAAATGGTCCTAATTCTACCACCACTCACTGTCATCTTCCACCTCTTCTTCCTCTCTTCTCTTCTGTCCCAGAACGAGACGAATCTGTTTCATCTTTATCGAATTCGAGTGTAGTTATAATAGATCAGCCTGTACAGAACAAAAATTCAAAATCAAGTGAGTTCAGTTACTTATTTATATGCATATAATGTGTCATACGATCTTGCTCATATTAGACAAGATGTGTGTATTTATGAGTGGTTTTAAAGACTACCCTAGCAATCACTAAAATAGCCAGTCAGATTTTGGTATTTTGGTTGGGATAGTAAAATGGAGAGACGTAATTGGCCACTTCACCAGTTATTGGGGTGGCCTTTAAAGTCAGTCTTATTTACTCATTGAAAAATTTTAAAGCGTAAAAAATTGAGAAGAAATCGGATGTGTAGGTGGAATGCAAAAATTGTCCATCAATGAACATTTTTGTGGACAGTTTCATCAGGTAACAAATTTATTCAAGCATCCTTATTTTTGAAGATAATTTTTTTTGTATACTTCTTACATAGATATGGAACAGAATTCTAGGGAATGTTTGTTAGAGTGTAATACCAACTGTAAAGTCTTAGAGGAACCTAAATATGAGAAAAGTGGATGTTATTTTCACTTAATCTAAAAGGACATTAGTTGGCGATAATAAAGATATATTTTAATAGAATCCCAACGTTCAGGAAATCAAAACAAAATTTTTCTGAACATATCGCTTCTTCATCAGAATATTCGGCTTCAATCTGAATGTTTGCAATGACTAATGGTTACGATTTTCAGTATGAATTCTATTGGCAAGCGTTAGATTTGGCAGACAGCTTAGGTTTTTGAATTGAAAATGAATTTGCATAATGCTTGTTACAAAGTATATTTGGACATTCGTGTCACAAAGAGTAAATATTACCGCTTAGGTTCCTTTTTTCTAAAGAATACGTTCATCGTTGTCATTTCTTCTCTTCAAGTGGGAAACTCTTGTTGAGTTTTCATTCTTACCTATCTTGACTGAAAACCATACAACAAGAGGAAAATATTCAATCCCCTCCCCTACTTTTAATCTTGGTTTTTTATATGCGAAGTAACCTCAACCATCTGTTTTAGATGTATATAAAGCATAGTTCGTTTTTCTTGTAAGTCGCAGCTGGGTTTAACTGTCTGCTTGTGTAATGGGTAGCATGAACTTGTGAACATGAAATATCTTACGCGTTTTAGAGTTGACGATAATGTGTATTGTAAGTAACTTTGTAATTCTATTTGCTCATGATCTTTTCAGATTCACGTTTTGATCGTAGTAAGAAACGGAGTCGTTCGAATCAAGATTCACACTTCCCTTTGGCTAAACGCAGAGCAATGAACCAACCATCTGTAACTCATACGTTGGATCGAATTAAAACTACACCTATCGTTCAGCGACCCCGTGCTACAGTGGACTCTGTTTTCACAGATGATGAAAGTGATAATAAAGATGATCAGTCTCCTCTGATGTCTCCTCCTGTTTCTTGTTCGATTGACACAACTGGTAGTCAAGGTGCTATCCGTACTTCGACCAATCGAACTATGTACATAGCTAACTCTGCCACAAATTCTTTAGCCCACCTTTCTAACTCTATTCCTCCCCCGCCAAAATCTCAACCAAGAACTAAACATACTAGTTTGTACAACAACAAATCTTTATATCGACCTGTTACCAAATCATGTCGTACCTCTGTTATGAAGAGTTCTACATCACTGAAGAGTGGAAAAGGCCGTGGTCGTTCCAAACCGATACCCACCTCCACAATGGAAACATTACCTGCCATTGCTTCGAAAATTGTGCAACGCGAAACTGCTTCCCAAATTGTCGTTGAATCTGCTGGCAGTTCATATTATTTCGTAAGTGAAGTGGATTATTATGCTGTTTTTAAGATTTTTCTTTTGCTCAACTACATTTCATTTAACTATTTATACAATTTCTTGTAAACTCCAAATCTGAACACAGTTACTAGGTGAATTTATTTGATTACTAGGCAAAGTGACTGTTTCTGAGTGTACCCACACTTCATCCACTAGAGCATAGTTTAAATATATGGATATTTCCACTTTCTTTCCAATCACACCAGTGAGTTCTACCGTATTCGATTTTTTTTCTAAGTAATGATGTAGTTCTTTGTACTTCTTAGACTTTTGCGCCCGAATTTCTTACTGTTAGTTGCTGGGAGATACTGAAAAAACATTAAATCAGACATCGTTTTTCAACTCCTTGACCAACTTCAATCAAGTTAGATTGTACTCTTACAATTGGTTAATTTAGCTAATGTGAATGATGTAAAGCTCATAATCCACCTTTATTGTGTTAGGGCCCTTTTATTATATTACGTGACTGTTCGGGTTAAAATAAGTGGAGGAGGATTTGAGGTCAGGACCTATTGTTTGAGTCGTGTTTTAGTCAACGTTGCACATTCGAGTGACTGACCAAAGTTTGGTGACCTACTTTAACTTACTTATCCTATTACACTGAGAGTAGAGCTTTATTCAGGGGAGGAAAGCTTTCAGTATAATTTGTTTAATGTTGGATCATAGGTATAATCGTTTTATAGAAGTGTCATTTGTAAAATTATATCAAGCCAAATATTAATAAAAATATATCAACTTTAGAGATTTTGTAAACGTGAATTGTTGGTCGTAAAAAAAGAACCTCTGTTTCTGCGTTTACAATTCAAGGGAGACACTCCAAGTAACATCTTGTTATAACGCCTAATTAGGACAATCGATAAAATATTTCACTTAGGTCATGTTTTGTATATTTTTTAGTAGTTGACTAATGCTCAGTCCAAGACTAAAGAATACTCTACATAATCTTATCTTATCATCGTGTATATATCAACTTAACTGTTTCTGTGGAACAAGTTACACAGTGTACAATCAGACAGGAGCGGTCCTGGATACAAGAACATTTAACAACTTAAGCTTTGAAAAGGTGAAGTAAAAGCGGTAGGAAGTTTCTCTCTTAGCCCATTTGTTCGACATTCTTTGTTATTACATGAGTCATCTTAACAACATTGAGAAGTTTCAGTAGGTAAAAGACACGTTCCATTTTGAAAATGTGTTTTCCTCAAATATGGCATGTTTTTACGCTGAAAAGTTTCATTTCATCATAACTGTAGAACCTAATGATAATTTATTGAAAAGCATATTCTTCGTTCAGATGTTTTCAACTTTCGAGATGATATCAAATTAGCGAATAGTGAGTTTATTGGACGAGGCCTATCTAATATAACTTGATAATAAAAATACTCAGTAAACTCCAGTTCATTTATTACGTCATTATGTACGATTGAACAACGTTACTTCATTTGACGAATGAATACGTGCATATCAAGTTCATGTTTTATCCCCGGATAAGGTTTCTTATTTTCACTTCTGATCTCAAAATGTTTGTGCATTTCTTACACGTTTCATACTTACATATTCTCCCGGCCGATGGGTACTACCTTGATGTGGTGGTCGGACTTGTATATCACAATGACCCAGCGAGCCATACTGGTGGAACACTTGTTCCCTCGACGTCCTACCATAACAGAAAGGTTTGTTGGATAATGGTTGAAGAAATGCAGTTACGATTATGGTGTAAGTTGCTACACTATGATGGGGTCTGAAGTAGTGGGACTGTTGGATGGACACGGGTGTGACGGCAGTAAGGTACCACACTGAAGCTGCTTTCCATATGAGAAGAAGGGGTTAAGAAAGATCGGCTTCCAACATAGTACACCTCCCCCCATGGCATGCTAATACCTGTGACAGGAATTCATTGTCGGATTCGAAGGCAAAAAGCCGAAATCTCAGACTTCCAAAAAGGTCATGTGCTACCGGCTTCAAGCATATGTCCCTTTGACTTTGCGGTCATATACAAATCCTTCTTTTTCAGGTACCTCTAGGAAAACTAGCTTTCTATGGTGTGGGAAGTTGGGAAGTGCTAGTCGCCACCACAACTCTGTCGGTACTCAACTTCCCTCAGATCACTGTACACCTCCCACAACTTCGCCTTGTAAACTTTCTTCATGTCTCTCAGTTAACCATCATACATCGTTTTCAATTTCTTTCAGCTGCATAGCTTTTGACTAAGGTCTGACTTCATGGAACGGCATCCCTGGTCTCTTCAAACCGCGCTCCAAATTACACGTTAAGGCTTTCAATGTCCAAACCCTCCGTCAAGTCGGTTAACAGGCTTCGCAAGCCAAAACTCTCGGAACTCGGCTTATAGATGTGTCCTGCGTTTCTGAGAGACGAATACACGATTCAGCTGGGGTTATTCACTTAACCTAACCCGGTTAACATGGTGAGTCCGCAGAATTCACCCTACGAGTTTCTGGAAATTCACTGATCAGTTCTCGCAGTTTTGTCACGTTTAGGTGTACCATTGAGTACCAAAGCAGAAAGTTATCTTCTCAACTGGATCCTAGTTGACAGTCATCTATCCACTGTTCGACTGAACAGGGCAGTAAGGACAAAAGTAAATAGCCGAGCTTGCCGTTATCTCTTTGTAGTCACTGTATATGTATCCAGTGACTGCAGTCTGGATGAAGTGAAGGATGGGTTCTACCGAAAACTGCCTAGCCTCCGTCTAAAAGGTAAGCCTTCAAGACGTAGTCTTTGTTGGGGGGATTTCAGTGCACTAGTGGGCAGGCTAGGTCAGACAGAAATCACTTCGGTGGCACTTTCAGAATACCAGCCGAACGAACGGGAAAGGGCGATCGTCTACAACAACTGTGCTCAGATGACCGTTTATTTATAGCCAGTACAAACTTTAGACCTAAAGAAAGACATTGTCTGACGTGACTTCCACCGAGCTGAACTCCGTAGTGGACACAGATAGACCGTATTCCTATCAGTTATCGCTGAAGATGGTTTATGGAAAACTGTTATGCCTTCTGGGTCACTTGTTTGGACGGCAACCATGTGTTGGTTCGAGAGCGTGTACTGCTGCACCTCAATGAAAGTAGGAAAACTTCAGCGGGTGCAGCTCGACAGTGAGAGCACTAAGGCCGCTTTCAGTGAGAAACTGCATAGGCAGTTATCGGAGCACAACACTCACTCATCCAGAAGAAGTTTAGTGCCATCTTTAGTCTGCTGAAAAAACAGCCTCGAAGACCGTAGCCGACTCTCAAATAGTGGTTAAAAAGAGCCAGCTTCTTCTGAAGTAATGGATGCATGCGAACACATCCTTGCAGGCTCTGAATACAATGAAGAGCGAACTCAGCTTAAATCTAGACTGACAAAAAGTCTACGCAATGACCATGAACAACGAAGGCTAAAGAGGTAGAGAAGGCAGCGGAGATACTTAACAGTGGACAGCTATCTAGACTTATTAAGGAAACTGAGGTGAAAAACGTCAACGGTTAGTGAAACATAGGGAAGAAGAATGAATCTGCGATTCACTCGCATGGGGGACGACTGAAACAATGGGCAGGACATTTCGGGGAACAGTTCAATTGACCTCCAGCTACTATTGCGTTGCTCGCTGTCCAGTTGGATCCTGAATGGAACATTGAAATAGGCCCCCATCACTTGCAGAAGTCGAGAAAGTGGTAGGTAACTTGAAACGAGGAAAGACAACAGGACCAGATGAACTACTTCCAGAAGTATTTAAGGATTGTGATCAAGAATTTCAAGTTGAGTTAACTGAAGTGTTCACTAGTTTGCGCTAATCAGATACGATCCCCCCTGACTAGTCTCAGTCACTGATTGTCCCAGTCTTCAAGAAAGGCGAGAAGTCCTCTGTGATAACCACAGATGAATCAGCCGGACGAACATTCTGGGCTATATAATCATTAGACGTATGAGTGGAGCTCGGGAACAGCGAATCTGAGAGAAAATCAGACATGCTTAAGACCTGGTCGTGGATGTATCGACCAGATATTCATACTCGGTCAGGGTGTGCAACACAGACTCACTGATACCCGACACTAACTGTATTTCTTAGCTTGAAGATGGCATTTGACTCTGCCGACCGAGAGGTCTTATGACCGTGTCTCTCAACGAAGGGGTGCAGAGTGAGTAAATTACTCTGTTAAAGGCTTAGTGCTCGAACACCCATGGCATATTGGAGTCTATGTTGAATTATCAACTGAGCTGTTTAAGTTGACTGGTGTCCGTCAAGGATGTCCACTCTCTTTATTTAACTACATCATGAACGTACTTATGCAAGTCTCCTCTTCGTTATCTGATTACACATAATTCGATCCTATGGCAGGGGAATCCTTAGGAAAAGTAGAGTACACAGACAACATGGTCGTGTTAGGTGAAGACACTGAAATGATGCACAGTCTTCTGGACAATTTGAGTGGCTATTTGAGAAGGCTTGGAATGCGTTTTTTGCCTCCCAAATGTAAATTGCTACTCTAGGACTGGTCTTTAACGATGCTCCAGTTAACAGTAGGGAGCGAGGTGGTTGAGCGAGTTAACCACTTCACTTACTTGGAATGTCAGGGTAACCCTGGTGGCTCACTGACTGACTAAATCTCTGCACAGATACTAAAGGCTGGTTTGGCTTTCACCAAGTCACTCCACGATATCCGATTGTCTACTATGAGCCGAGTGTACTGCGCCATAGTTCACTCTGTCGTACTATTTTTCTGTGAAATAAGGCCATTAAAGGTAGAGGACATGAGTAGGCTTCAGGTGAAACATGTTTAGGACTTCTTGTCGAATGATTCCTAACAGCTGACATTGACTGGATTTACACTGCGATAGATTTTTTTTAGTTTGGCGACAACACTTCGGTTGATCATGCTGAAATAAATAATTAAATAAACACACTCAGCCACCTTGTGCACATCCGTACGGTAGGCAGTGAGCCACACACATTGTGTGATACTATCTGGCTACCCAAACCTCCGCACGCGGAGCGTGGCTCGAACCTGTGACCTGCTGGTTGGAACTCATCTCCCTAGACCACTGATCCGCAGCTTCACACTTGAACATACTACTTATGGAGTATCTAGTGTTTTTCCTTCTTTCTGTGATCAACCAACTTTTGTTTATGCTATTACTTTATTGGTCAACGTTATAAGTTGACACCCAAACGCGTTGAGTTTTTCATTTTTACCTCGGTGTCATTAGCCTTGGAGTAGTTTCTGCGCTTCATATAATGTATATAAATCATAGTCTTTTATATCGATCTTCATATGATTACTTTGCTGCTGTTGGGTTAGGTTAGAGGAAGGTTGAGGTTGGCCAGACCAAGAGGTGGCACCAGTCGATGAAGTTCTCGACTATTGATCTGAACCGTGTGGGGAGATGTAGACTGCTTGATCCAGGGTCCTTGAGACGAAACGAATCAGTGGTTGAAAATTCTTGGTGACATGGCTGAAAATCGGTTGGTGACAATGACGTAGATGTATTCATTCCTTAACATCTAAAGCTTGAATATTTACACTAATCGTTATCTTCAGATTGTTTATTGTCTCACAACTTTTTCTATTTTGATATAACTCTTATTTCATCAACTTGTTCTTTGTATAGTAGTGGGAAGTATGATAACTTGAGCTGATGTTCTTGTGTGTGACATTCAACGTAGATTTTGTCTGTCTACCTCTGCTTTACCAATAATTGATTGTTGAATTGTTGATACTAATAAATCTTGATATTCACGCAACTATTGACTTTCAGCACAATATTAGAGTGGATTCAGTTTTTAGATGAGCAGTTATTTATATTTTCTTGCCTTATATATATATATATATATATATATATATATATATATATATATATATATATATATATATATATATTCTTAATCTTTCCCTGTTATTGGTTGTAGAATAATGATGGTGAACAAATATGGTTGTGCCCTATCTGTCTACTGGAAGATGATGGAAATTTGATGATTGGATGTGATAATTGTGAAGATTGGTATCATAGGTGAGTTTAACTCAATAAATAAATAATCATAATCAAACATCATTGTAAATTGTATTGTAAAGTATATAGGTGTTTTGGAAAAATCAAGTTTCATGTATTTTTACCAACGCATCATTTCTAACGTCATATCCATTATGGTTAAGGGGAAGTTACAAGATAATCAGAATAAAGGTGAACAACGAATCACTATGCATCATTTTGATGTATTTTGGGTAATTGGTGAAAAAGATAATTACTCATGATATTAATACACTACAATATTCAAAAATATCTTTCTCAAATTGGGTAGTTTTTAGACACCTCACCTTATCACACAAACATACAAGGCACAGTAAAGAAATAGGAATATTGTCACTATAAGTCGTATAAAAACATTAGAGGAAAAGAAGAACTATTCGAGCAGATACCGATATGTTGTGTAACGGCTAAGGTGAAGATATAATATGAAAGCATCTTCATCATGGCTAGATTGTGAGTCTTTAAACTCAGAATTCCAACTTGGAAGTCAAAACCTTTGTAATATCACTCAAACAAATACTTAGTGACTTCAGTTTGGAGGTTTGTGGGGATTTATTGATTTGACTTTGGTATTCATCACTGGCTAACCTAAGTTGAAGAAACATTGAAACACTGGACTTCTGTTTTGTCCTAGCATGAGGTTCTTCAGTGGTACGTACCCATAACCCAACCATAGGTATGGGACATGACCTTCAGGTTTCATATCAAGCAAGTTATCTCTGAGCCACTGGGTCGGAATCCAATTGTTTGTTGCCAAATTTTAGTCTGACCAACCTTTATTTTATGCAATCCTCACTGCAGTTCGACTAACTTGGTGGGTTGGCATCTTCTATGCACGCTCCAGCAACCTCAGTCAATATAGGTCTAGAGCGTCACTAAGTGACTCACCCTCATTAATGCATATTTTTCGGCACAGAGATTTCAGATAGATTCCAGTCATAATCACCAGTGCCGATTTAGGGTTGGTAAAACTATTAACATTTTCATATCTGTTTTTCCAAACCTGTTCCACCCAGCCATGTAATCTTCAACTTCTTATTCGGATTTTAGATGTTGACCAAGCCTGTTCTGAATGGTTGATCTGTTCGATTAGTTGTAGTGTGCCTACTTGTAATTGAGCGGCGGTGTTCGCTTGTGAGTGTTCTGACTGGTTACGGTCGTCTGACTCTAAAGGTTGTGTCATATAAGCTATTTCTCGTTAATTACTTTAGATAGTGGTTCATCATGTGTATAGCTTTCGATGTTAGCAAATTCTGACTTTCTCGAACCTATTTGTTGGTCTGGTTATTGGGCTTTTTGAATGTTTTTTCTTTAGCTCACTTAAGGTATTTTGTTTGGTTACTGCTTTAGCGGTAGTTGGTATCTCATGAATTCGGCACTCATTGGGCTATATATAGTATCTAAATTTGTCTGTTGGTTACTACATCTGAATATTCTGTTCCTCGTGTTTTTATCTTACTTATTGTGAGATTATGAGGTTTTTCTAGTCAAAGCTGTGATCATGATTGTTTGCGTAAAGTAAAGTCAGTGATTTCATATTCTGACATCTGTCTGCCACTTGATAATTCGTACATAGATATATGACGCAAATGAATGAACTTATTGCTCAGCATATTGATGTTTGCAGTCTGCGTAGTACATTCTGTATATGACGTTGAATTTTTCTTCCTTCTGTACCTAGATATTTTGTCTCGCAAAACGAGTTCTATTTTGAAGTTTCAAGTTTGTGAGTTATATGTATTCTGAAAGGGTATAACAGTATTGCTTTGAATTCTGAAACATCCTCAATATACTGAAGTGTAATTCTTTTCCAATGTTAGTGAACATGTTCAAGGGTCATAGAGTATCATCAAGAGAACTGTTCCAGACCGCACTGGATTCTTAGTTGGGAATCAAGCTTCTCACCGACGCTGTTGGTGGAGCTTTTCTATGCATGTGTAAATATCGTGTATTACTGATCCACCGGGATTAATCCAACCACTTAATTTGCTAGATTGTGTTGTACAAAAGTACAATCGTTTCAAATTCTTAAATAGCTTCTACAGCCTTATCCACTGTACATCATCTCATGTAACGAAGCTAAAATCATGACGTCTTATTTGAAATTAGATATAGGAAAATGTGAAATAGAAGTCGCATAGACTTAATCTGAGGAGCTGTCGAAGTAGTCATCGCATCGCGATTTGAATCTCTTATAACAGTGCATAGCTTCATGTTTACACCATCACTTAAAAGGAACCCTGAAAACCCAAAAGAAATACTACAAATCTCGGGGGAGTGATGGGTAGTTGTAGAATGATAGTAACCAATCAGTTCAGTAAATGATACACTTTAGGTGCAGTGTTGTTACTGGGATGAGTCAGTCAGTATCAAAATAGAGCATAGCAATGCACATCGGTGCAGCAAGCTCGAAGATCGAAATATAAGGAAAAGTTATGGAACGGGAAAAAGTTATTATATGCATAATGAATTATGATATGATGATTAGGATGAAGATGATATTTAGTTGCATGTGAGTCGCAGAAGTGGAATCTGAATCATCACACCTTTCTATCTTTGTGATCTCTGCTTGCTCATCCAACTTATACAGTGCGGATAAAGTGAGAGATATTTTTCTCTTAAAAATCCTACTGAAATCCAAACGTTTAACTGTGGTTGATGTAACAGGTGCTTTCAATGCACAAGTGAGTGGCATAATCTACAAACAGATGGATAATATCGATCATCTGCATCGACTGTGCTCGTGCACCTACCTATACTCGTTGTTCACTTGCCGACACTCAATGGTGGACACAAAAAGCTCCATCACTACAGATGATCGGTGGAAGATTGCGACTACTTCTTGGGGTCCGCGTGACAACAGACTAAGTGAAATGGTTCAGGGCTCAACGGGGAAGATATAGTCACACATTCTCTTCATGTTAATCGGCAAACTCAAATTCAGTATTCTCTCATTCTTCCTTGTCCTCGTTTGATGACTTTCTGTCGCTTTTGACTACTTTCTTCTCTATTCATTGATCTTGTACCCTAATGTGTGCTGAAATGAGGTATAGCATCGTGAGGCGTTACGCAGTAATACCGGGTTCTATGTTGATTTTATCTGTCTGTTGCTTCCTTTTAAACCACGTGTTTGGATAGTGTTCATGCATTGTTTCGACCTATATTGATGTAGAAAAATTCCGACTACATAACGGTTCAGAGCAATACTCGTTGGTGGGAATACTAAGATTGCTTTCAACGAGAAACTGGCTAGACAGGTGGTGGGATAGGGTTATGTCACTCATCCGGAAGAAGCATGGTAAGATCTCTGGTTCGCTGTACAAAAAGCGACCGACACTGTGACTGATGACCTGAAAACGCTAGAAAGGATCGACAGATCTCATCAGTTACTCCTCAACTAATAGTTGCATTTGAACACATTCCTACATGTCCCTAGGACATTGAACAGTGGAGTCTCCACAATGACAGTGAAATGTAGTTATTATTATTATTATTATTATTATTATTATTATTATTATTATTGTATTATTTATCCTTTGGGTCCCTAGTGGAACATAAGGCTTCAGTAGCACGTCGTGATTTCACTCTCTTCTCTCCAGTCTTTTTAACCTGGCTCCACGACTGCCCATAAGCTTTCATTTTTTCCTCACACGATCTCCTCCATGTCGCCCTCGGACACCATACTCATCGTTTCCCGTTTGGATTCCACTCGACGGCCTTGCCTGGCCTGGCACGTGATGTCCCCAAATAGTCTTCTTAGTATATGTCCAATCCAATCCATCTCCACTTTCTTCTGCATATTTGTTGAGCGATAGGTTGTTGGTTGGTTGCCACTCGGAGTGAGCTCCTTGTTGCTTATTCTTTTTGGCCTTCTGATCTGATCTTCAGTATCAAGTAAGTGTAGGCGACAGCTGTTGATGTATGATGTCTGCAGTTTTTTGGAAATGCTTTTCGTGACGGGCCAAGTCTGTGAACCATCACTTGGAATGACTGACTTGACTTGTGTGTTGAAAATCCGGATCTTGATCACGCTTTATGCTGAGTATAGTGCAATGCAGTGCAGTAGGATCTCCACACTGATTTCAGATTAATGAAGGGCTGTTGTGCTATCTTCCTGGTCCTGACTGGTTTTGACATCGTCATCCATGCTACCGCCGCTATCTGCAGTTGGAACGATGCTGCCTAGGTATGTAGGTAGGTGAAAGAGATAACTTCGTTTAGATTTTTCCAGTTGATGGTGATTAGTGCTTGTTTTTGTTATTGTTGTTGTTGGTTGGATATCTTCATCACCTCTATCTTCTCTACGTCTACGTGAAGGAAGTTCCGTCTTGGCTGCCCTGTCTCTTCTGCCAACTTGCTAGTTTTCGCCTGTAGATCTTCGAGTTTGTGCGACAAGACAGTGGACGTAAATCATGATCGGCGGCTAAATCCAAATCTTCTAGGGTATTTTCATCGGTCCAGCCAGTGTATACCCGTCTTTTCGCTCCTCACAGTTTGCTGCATGATCCAGTCCAGTCCAGTCGACCACAATCAGGAGGATGATCGGTGATAGTAGGTGGCAACCTTGTCTTACTTCTGTCTTCACTTTGAAGACACTGAGTTTCCCATTGTGTTGTGGATCACTTGGCATGTAGCACCGTCATATAGGTGCTGTTGAATGAGATTGATAAAGGTTTGTATCACTAAAACCGTAGTGTAGTGTTGAAGCAGCAGCTGCCAAATTACTTCCCTGTCGATGCTGTCGAAGGCCTTTTCAAAACCGATGAAGTTGAGGTGCAGAGTTGATTTGACTGTCATTCTATGCTGTGTTCTATGATGGATGATGTGTAGTGTATCGTTGCAATTTGATCCACACATGATTTGTTCTTTCTGAAGCCAGCCAGTTCCAGTCGTAATTTTGAATGCAAAGCATTTTTCAGTCCCTCCTGTATGATGTGGCATAATATTTTGCTTGTGGTGGACAGGAGTGGAGGATGATTCTG